TACTACTACTACTACTACTACTACTACTACTACTACTACTACTACTACTACTACTAAACCGTACATACATACATACCAACAAACAAACAAACAAATATACATATATACAAACCAACAAACAAATATACATACAACCATACAAACAAACATACATACTTGCGATACAATTTTAAAGTATGACTGTTTTCCAGAAAGTTACAAAACTCCAAAATTTCTTTCTAAACGGTTATGAATGGACTGATAGATATGTAGATGTTGGTTTGTTCGTTTGTATGTTTGTTCGTTCGTTCGTTAGTTTGTTTGTTCGTTCGTTCGTTTGTTTGCTTGATGATGGCGATACTGATGATGATAATATTGATGTCATGACGACGAGTTTGATGATGATGAGGAGGATAACAAGACCAAAGAATAAAAAGTATAGAAAGAAAAAAAAGGACATACCATGTCCATGACTACGAAATATTGAATAGTAAAATAATTTTCAGAGAATTGATGCATACAAATATACATACATACATACATACGTACATACATACATACATACATACATACATACATACATTGACCCTTCTAAATTGGGCGAATTTGACGGAGCCCTGCGCACCGCCCTGTCGTCGATTTGCAATGTTCAAGTGACTGACAGTGGTTAGTCCCAGGCTCAGCTGCCGGTGCGATTTGGTGGGCTGGGGTTGCTTAGCGTGGTTCAGCTGGCTCCCGTTGTTTATAATTCTTCTGCCGCTGCCACTCTCGACCTGCAGTCTTCCCTGCTCCACCGGTTTTTTCGTTGCCGCGATATTTTTCCCCCAGTGTCCGCCCCGGGAGACCGTACGCACGTCCAAATTTTGAACGAAGAATATAAAAAAATCTTTCAAAATTTGTTGTCTTCATGCGGCGACGACTTTTCCACCGCTCGTTTGTTGGCCATGTCCAGCGTTGCCAGCTGTGGGTGGTTGAGATCGTGGCCTAACACCTCTGTGGGCACCAGGCTTGACGACGAGTCTGTGAGATTTGCCATTGGCTTCAGACTTGGCCTGGTCATTCAGAATAAATACACGTGCCGATGTGGCGCTGGGGCGGACGAGTTTGGGCACCACGGTTTGGTTTGTCGCCTGGGTGGGGGCCGTCAACTACGTCACTCAGCGCTAAACGATTACATTTGTCGGCTCTTCTCCAAGGCTTCAATCCCGGTTCTCAAGGAACCACCCGGCATTTCTGCGCATGATGGTAGGCGCCCGGACGGATGCACGCTAATACCTTGGAGAGCCGGCAGATGTTTGGCGTGGGATGTTACGGTCCCTGGCACCCTCGCCGAACGATACGTAAACCTGACAAGTAAAGAATGCGGTTTGGCCGCGGCCAGGGCAGCGGACGAGAAAATGAAAAAATATGGGAATGC